CTGAGAACTAGAAAGAAGACTTAGGATTGATCTAATAGTCTCTACTTTTCTTTTATGCATTATTATTATTATTATTGGTTTTGTTTTGCTATAAGGCGCTTGTGAGAGAGAGACAGAGACAGAAAGAGAGAACAGGTGAGAAATCACCCACCAGGGGAGACAGCCATGCTGCAATCCCTTCTCCTCCAGTCTCCTCTTGGGATTTTGAGCATGTATGCACACACATCTGGCATGTTTTTCAAGCCACCAGGTCCAGGACTCAAACTACTCAGGCAACCATGTGGAATCCAGTGACTTAATCACTGTGCCACATGCTGGCCCCAGAACCCCTTTCTTTAAGAAGCAAATCTAGAGTACTCCTCAAGAACCACGTTTGGTAAACACCACTGAATGGAGATGAGACTGGAAGTAGCAAAGAGCTCAGGTACAGGCATTTTACCCATTTGAGCCAACTATGCGGATAAGTCTCACCTCTACTGGTAGTTTCCCAGCATAGACAACAAAACTGTTTTCCACAGCCACCTCACAGGCTCAATCACACACACATAGCACCAAATTTAGTGGTAAAGATAGTACAGGGTCAAACGAATAAGGATTTCCTTCCCTCTCCCTTAAAAGTGAGGTTCAGTCAGTTGCCTGAAGGCAAAGAGCATCACCCCATGGACAAAGACATCAAAGGCTTCGGATGCCAACGGCTGGCAGGTGCTGGTCTTTTGACTGTGCCAACCACAAATAAGATTCTTCGTCAACTGGACTGGGCTGCACCTGCCACCACACGGAAAGGTGAGACTGGGAGGGTGCAGGCAGCATCCACAGCACACCTGGCCTTGCCTAAGCTCTGCACCTGTTTCCAGGCCACTCTACATTTTCCTTTCTCCCCTAAGTCCTTTGTTGGGCTTCTGTGCCCTGTCTAAGCACCTTTCAACAAGTTCTCGGCTCCCAGCTGCTATTTCTGGCTTGGGTCCAAGGCCAAACTGGGGTGGGGAAGTCCCTCTGGCTTTCTGCCAGAGCCATATCCCAGCAGACCAGCCCCGGCCAATCATGTGGCTCCTGCTTTACAGGGCAGCTGTGCCTTTCACTCTAGCACCAGGACTGGGGCAGCACACACACGAATGAGGAACAGGCAATGACTCACGGTGCCGTCAGCCCCTCCCGCCTCAGAGATGGCGGACTAACTGAGGCTGCCACAGAAGGAAGTTCTAAATTACCATAGCAAAGGTAGCAGGTCTTTTGTTACAGACCACTCATGAGACCCCAGGAGGAGAAAAGCTGCAATAAAAATCCGGAGAGCTGAACTTCAACCTCAGCTAACTTCTCTTATGTTAACAGGACATGCAGAGAAAGCTGCGTAAGTAGAGGAAAGTGTACCAAGCCCTTGGTCCCAGAGAGCTCAGGCAAGCGTGGGACCTGGGAGACAGCGCTGGCAATCAGGGGTCAGCCACAGGGATCAGATGTGTATGTTAGAGGAAACAGAAGCAGGGTGCAGGCTGCAGCTGGCCTCATCTGTAACTGAAAGCAGAAGCCCACTAGCAAACGGTAACCATGCGATGATTCAGGAGCATACTTTACAATGTCCACAAGATAAACATGAAGTTTCATCTACTCTTTGATTAATTTCCTTTTAGCTCATAACCACACAATTTCATACTTAAGCTTTCTAGCTAAAGTTATAGAGCTTTAAAGAAACAAGATGAGTATAATAAAAAGAACACCAACTTTGGAGTTGGGCCTGCTAGCTGCCGGAAGGAGGGGGATATTTAACTTTGCCAGGCCTTCATTCTCTCATCTCTACAAGAGAAAAGGGCCAGACCTGTAGCCTAGCGGCTAAAGGAGCCAGACCCGACAGGGTCATTTGAATCCTAGACCTGGTGGTTTGAAAACACATCAGGTAGGTGTGTGTGTGCATGCCAAAATCCTGACAGAATGGAGAAATGAAGAAGGGGGTGCAACATGACCAAACCCCAATGGGTTTGGTCCCTCTTCTGCTCTCCTGCTATCTGTCTGGTGGAAGTATGTACCCTCTGGCAGTAAGAACAGAGGAGAATAGCACTTACCCCAAAGGCTCAATAATATATGTATAGCACCAAATTTAGTGCCAAAGACAACGGCATTAAATGAATGAGAAGTTCGTTCCCTTTACCTCAGAAGTGCTGTTCAACTAAGATTTCAGTTGAACAATCCGAAGCACCATGTACCTGACCACAAGAGATGCTGGGTCGAGTGGTGAAGTTTTGTCTTTTTCTACTGCTCCTCGGCCCCCAAACCCATTTTCATTAGAAAAGCCTTCCGACAGAAATCTAATTGCTCTTCAGGTCTGAAACTATCTGAAACTAAAATCAACCCTGAACATCAACTCTGCTAAGACAATGCTGCTATTTTGATCTTAACCTGTTTGCAGCCAGTACCTATCTGTGTAAGGCATATTACAGACTCCTTGATGGAAACTTCAATTGTTTTCTCAGACATCACAGGAAAATAGCCTTGGATAATCACTTATGCGACAGCCCTTCCCTCCAGTCAGGTCCAAAATCTCACAACAGGTCCAGAAACTCGTGTTCATTTTCTAGGTAAGTTGAGGACATCTGTATTCTATCTAAAACAAACACAGGGATAAGGAAAAAAAATGAAACTTACTGCTCAAAAACCGGTTTTTGACCCATCGGTTTTGCTTCCGGGCATATCTCTTAGTGACCTGTTTCAGTGCCTCAATACCTGAAAAGCAATGGTAGACGCAAGAACACCTAGGGGAGCAATTCTCACCCTGCCGAGGGGTGGGCCCTCCCAGCCCAGCAGGAGAAACTCAGCCACAGCAGCACGACGTCACACTGGGTGGGCACAAAGCGCAGCTCTGAGCTGAGGCCACGTGGGGCTCTTCTAGCCTCAGCTCTTTCTCAGACCGTACCGTACCAGCAAGGTACTCTGTCACCCAAGGATGTCAGAGACTAGGTTAGACGGAGGAAGTCACACCTTTCTTTAGAAGCTGGTTACTAGTCTCTGGTGTGCACTGTCCCTCAGTGATCAGGTACTCGTGAAATTCCTTGAAGCCAATTGACTGGAAGATACCATGCTGATAGTCCTGGCTGGGAACAGGAGAGCGTCAGCCGATGAGCCATGCTTCTGCAAGCCAGCCCTCGAGATGACGTAGTTGAGCTGCTTCACTTCATAAATGAGGAAACGGTGACCCTGAGTAGTAACCAAGTCTCTGAAAAGCTCCCCCTCTCCCTACCCACCCCCAGGGTACTTCCTTGAAAAGTAACTGCTGGACATGTTTCCAAGGCTAGACGACGACCACTGGGTCAAGTATATCAAATCTCCTTCCCAGGTCCTCGGCTGCGTCAAGGACCAGGCTATAAACAAGCACACCTAGAGCCATATCATGTCTGTCTGCCAACCACAGACAAGGGATGGACAGCAGGTCGGCGTGACGGCCACATCCTCACCTCTCTTCTGAAACATTCCTCTGATTATAGCGTCTGTGAAAATCTCTGAGTTCATCCAAGAGCCCAGCAGCCAGCATGTCATCCACTCTCTTGTCCAGGCGCTCATCTAGAACTTGAATCAAATTAGCCCATCAACTAACGAGCATGCTGTGGGTGCCCTGTATACACTTCCTACACAGTGAATGAACAGGCTGCCACAGAGAAGAGGGTTTGATCAAACCTAGCAAAGGAGTCAGATTCCAAATTATATACTAATTTATAACTATTTACTCACATTCAAGAGTCTGCAGCTTCAAATAAAGATATCCAAAATGGAGCACATGCCTTCTTCATTATATTAACAGAAAGCATACATACAATTATAGCTACTTTGAAAGATGTTTCATCTTTCAATGGAATGTATGTATAGTATTATCTTTTGGTGGTAAAGACCCCCTGGTTTACCATCCTTAATTTTTGTCATTATATGCTAACTCTGTATTATTTCGCATTTACCCTATGGATCAGAACAAGGCATTCAAGGTACATCTTTAACTACTACTGCCGGACAAAGGAGCAAAGAGTGAAAAGTCATAATCGTTCAGATGTGATGAGCATACAGAGCTTTGCTATGAATCAGGTACCATCATTATATGCTGAACTGTATGAGTTCCTATTTACAGAAATTTCATTATTAAAAAATTATCCTTTCCAGGACCAGCAGTTGGTGTAATGGCTATGTCGCTGGACTCCCGCGTAGTCGATCATGGTACCACTCCAAAAAGAAAGAAATATATATCCTTTCCTGTAAGTTTATAGGTGAACACATTTCCACCACTCAGTTATGCTCTCCAGCATCTCTACACTGCTACTTCTCAGCCTGAGACGAGAATACCCTTTTTCCCTACCATTCCAGTTTTGTGTTTACTTCTTTTCTTCTTTTCTTTTTTTTTTTTTTTTTTTGAGAGAT